CATTTGTGTGTAAATGTATGTTTTCAACCAACGTATTCCATTTCTAGTGAGACATCACTTCTGTAGTAATTCAATATTTGTTTAGTTCTTACCAAAGCTCGTTCTATTTTGCTGTAGGTCATTAAACTGTTAGGCGGCCTCAGAAGTCTGTTTGAGATCAGTTCCGTTACCTTCATGGGCAAACGCCTGCAGGTTCAGAAGACGTCATAAAAAGAGTAAAGGGCATAAACTTTCATTCTGGCTCCTCAGGAGATGTCTTTTCAACGTGTGACTGCAAGACGTCTAGGTCTTTTTGACGTACCTTGGCTCAGTGGGATAAGTGCTAATGCACCAATTACAACAAAGAATCACACAAGTTTACACAACAGCACTGACTGAACACAGTTAAATGGGAAGATAACATGACAGTAGATTGGACTATGGAAGAAGTGGGTATGCAAATATGGATGATTAGAAGTCGTAATACTCAAATAGCCGTGCAAAATATACATCATAAAATACATATACATGCTTATGGCCCTGACTACACCACGGCACATAAATATGATAATTATTTGTACCAGTAGTATCATGCTGCTATATTGCAATGAAACTATATTAGCATTATATTAGCCTATAATTTATGCAAACCTATTATACATTATATTCTCTGTAGGCTTTATTAGATAAATAAATGAAATATAGGCCTAATATCTCTTTTTTATAATCTTGATGCCATTTTGTCTTTACTGTGTTTACCAAGTTGCTAAATACTATTAACAACAAAAGCAACTATGGTAACAAACTACATGTTAGTGATGGGTTCCTTCCTGTCATTCCTGTCAACGGAGGAGACCGGTAAGGCGGGAGAGATCCACATTTGGGCATGTTTCCGCACACGGCTCCCTCGTCACATTTAGCCTACGCACGTCTAAAACAAACAGAGAGGGGCAGATTTGAATGGTCTGGATGACTATAAATCTCCAAGGTCGCTCTTTCAGTCACAACTTTCCACAAACAGGTAATAAACAATATATTTTAATATTTTTAAGAACCAGCACAGCATGGCAGCAACGCACAAGAACTTGACGGTGACGCGCACCATCAGTGCTGGAAACTGCACGAGCGCGGACAGCGCGTCTGAAAGCCCGGGATTCCCTTTCGCGCGCAGGCACAGCTCCGCGGGAAAACTCGCGCTCAAATGGGCCACCGCGAGAAGTTACTCTTTCGGAAGTTCGCTGGGGTTAGAAAACCGCGGGAGTAAAGACAGTATACGCAGTATCGTAGTGACACCGGACAGCATCCCACAATTCACCATTCCAAAACTAGCCCTGGAAGATGGCTATAGATCCAGAGTGAATGAGAAAGAACGACAGGGCGAAGAAGAGGTGGACTGGGGGAGCTTTGAAGACATTTGTGGATCCTATCATGCCAAGCGTTCTCTTTCTTCATCAGTGTCATCTTCATCATCATCCTCTGGGTTCAGCGTATCTCCTGTAAGAACAGCTGTCTCGGATCTCCAACATTGCTCAGACCCTGCTAGCCAAGCGGCTCTCTCCTTACCTCACCTTCTCAAGGTCACCACCCCATACGGCTTCGTAACTTTGAGCAAAAGCCCACAAATGGCCAACGAAGAGGCGCTCTTCTCTCAGGGCCATAGACGTTGTGGTCACGATGAAGAGGTCAACGCGTCTAGGCACCCTAAGCTGGAAACGAAAAGAAGCATCGCTGACAGGACATCCCCTATTCAGATACATGCCAGCACCCCTCCACATAAGTCTGCTGTCTCTCACCGTTTCTTTAGAAGCCACAGCGTTACAGGAATCGAGAAACAAGCACCGGTCAGCAAGAGCAAGCGAAGCCTTTGGGGAATTCTTCGCAAACAAGAAAGATTTAACCACAAATGAACAAACCCAGAGCAGTGTTGCTCGATAACATGACAATCGTGTAAATTCTATTGTAAATGAACAAGTTTTGTTGTTGTGTGGGAATTAATTTTATGCATGAATTCCTCATGTTCAGATGTTCAGATAGATGTTGTCCATGATGACCTTATGATGAAAATAAAAGTTTTTGAAAATAGAAATGGTTTCAAAAGCATCTGTCTTCTGACATATGGGCTACAGTGAGCTCAAAAAGCCTGTAAAATTAAATTACATTAAAATGTCAATCCAAATTCCCATTTTTTTTAAAGAAATATAACACAAACACATTATTAGTAAAACACTATGGAAATGATATCATACAAAATTAAGACAAATTTAACAAAATCACCTTGAATCCAGCTGGAAAAAGAGCACAAAGTTCTGAAGGGAAAAAAAATAGCATAGCATAATTTAATATTTTGTGTTTTATAAAAAAGGTAAAAACAATTGCTTAACTTATTTTGATGAGTTAAAGAGATGTAAAAAAAAACGTCATAACTTAATGATCGTATAATTTTTTTATGGTGGAGAACATAAAACATGTTTAATGGAACTATCAAAAAGGAATAATAATTAGTTATAAGGTTTTCAAAATCCACTTGGCATCTTTGGATATGGCATAAGATTCCGTTTAGGTTCAAGTGGGTTCATGAGACGGTTTCCTTGCATTTTGTCTGTGTTTCCTGACTACATGACGAGGCTACTGACGTAAATCTGTGTCGAAGTCTGCATAAGGAAGCCTCGGGACTCACAGCATGTGAAGAGTCTCTTAACTAAGAGCAGCATATGAGCTTAATGATGATCCACTTCAGGGTCTCTTCAGTGCTTGCGTCCTTATTGTGCCCTCCTAACCCTCGCTCTTTTTCCTTCTTTTTTATTTTGATGAAAGCTTCTTCCCTGCACTCATGTCTTAAATTAGAACTGCAATTCATCTTTTGATCTCCACTTCATGGATGGACATGGAGCAAGAAATACTCGGTTTGCGCATCTATGCAAATCCTACATCTGAATTCTAATAGACTCATTATGACAGAAAGAGTAGAGTAGACTGATCTGCGACAGTTATTGTGTAGCCTACAAATAATATGTTAAATCAATATAGGCTATGTTTTTTAACTGAAATGCTTGCAGTTGTTTCAGAAAAAAATTATCCATTTTATACTTAAGAGCATTCCCTAATCATCCCACACCAATATTAGCAATATATAGGTGATTTTGCTTTAAAAAAATGTTTTCAGACTGCATGGCTAATTTTTAATGGCTGTGAATGGAGAAAGATAATTTATACAGATGGTGTAGTTACAACACCTACCAGCAGGGTATTAAATATAATATTCAATTGCATATGACCACACTCTTATCATCATTCAGAATTCAGAAGTGATTTTTTTTTTTTATCAATAGACACTTAACTTGACAACTTTTTATCTGGCTTTACCTTCTAGGTTGGGTTTTGGTTCCTACTTAGTTTTTATACTTAGACTTACTTAGGCCCCGTCCACACTACTGCGTTTTCGCTTAAAAATGGAGACCTTTTGCTACGTTTTTGCACCTCCCGTCCAGACGAAAAAACGAAGACCTAAAACGGAGAAGTTTTGAAGCTCTGTTTTGCGTTTTGGGCGTTTTAGTGAAGACGGAAGCAAACGGAGGAGTTTAGAAATGATGACGCAGAGGCTCACACTCGGCTCTATGATTGGGTGTCATCAGTCAAGACGTGTCCTTCCCTGATTCGTCAGCCACCGTTTAGACCGGCATGCGCATGCCCAGTGTTGGTGAATGGTCACGTTATCCGCGTTTTCAGTGATTTTAATGTGGACGGAAATCAATTCTAATACGCAGATAAAACGCTGGTGTGGACGGAGATTGTATTTGTTTTAATTCTCCGTTTTTAAATGAAAACACAGTAGTGTGGATGGGGCCTTAGACTCAGGGAAGTTTTCGCTCCTGCTTTTGCCATAAAGCTGCTTTGGGATATTGTGCATTGTTAAATGTGCTGTGTAAATGGTGGACTCTGAAGTTCAGTTTAACTAAACTGAATCCAGTCTTTATCAGGCCCTGTCCAAAATCAGACTCAGAAGGGCTGTGTCCAAAATCGCATACTCCTGATTTTGTGACGGCATAAAAAGTACATTCTATATGAGTGTGTGTGTATAGTATGAATGTAATTTATACATTCGCCATGATGTCATTATCATGTGACCTATTAGTTGTTGTCACTTCCCTGCCATTCACAAATCCTCTCCTGTAGCCTTATTTGATAGTAAAGTGTAGCCTACATGGTATGCACTCTTAAAGGGATAATCCACTTTTTTTGGAAATAGGCTCATTTTACAACTCCCCCAAAGTTAAACAGTTGAGTTTCACCGTTTTCAAATGCATTCAGACGATTTTCTGATATTTAGAAGAATATCAGTAACCAGACGGTGTCTGGTCTCATTGACTTCCATAGTAGGAAAAAAAAATACTATGGAAGTCAATGAGATCAGAAACTGTCTGGTTACTGATATTTTTTTAAATATCAGAAAATCAAGTCAATGGATTCGAAAACGGTAAAACTCATCAGTTTAACTCTGGGGGAGTTGTAAAATGAGCCTATTTCCAAAAAAAGTGGAGTATACCTTTAAGAATCTCACTGAAAGTAGTTGGTCATCCGGGTACTTTTTGCCTACTCTTTAATGAGTACTGTGAATTCGGACATACTTAATTTGTCACACTGTTTTTCACTTACTACATTGTAAGGAAGTATGCCTTACCTGATTTGTGATCTCAGGTCATGTTTGAGGTTGCTGTTTATAAAGGGACAACAGCATCCTCTAGTGACTGAAAGATGACAGTGTATGAAGATCACTCGATCACTGGTATCTTGCAGTGTTTGTCTCCAAGCAACTTGTTGAAAGGAGTTTATAATTAGTGTGCTTTAAGTTGCTTAGTAGAAAACACAAATAAAATATCAAAATTGAACAAAATCCTCCAATTTATAGAAATGCTCAGTAAGATTAAAAACGTTCAGATTCAACTTGAATTCACTTTAGATTAGATTCAGGTTTGACACAAACTAAGCAAATATGCAAATAAACATGTCATCCCATGCAATGATAGTGAAAGGTACTAATCTAGATCTTGGTTCCTTATTTTAAACTGTCCTTTTTGAAAGTACAGAGAACAGATGTGCACAAAATGCACTCAGCTTTTCCGCTGCCAACCTCAGATGCTAGATATGCTGCTGTGGCAATGTGAGTGGAGATAACTGTGTGTGTGCTAATGCACTTGAAGAAAACTACAGGAACTGACATTTGTAGGAGGGTGAAGCACATTCACGGACGCTCTCACTGTCACACGCTAAACTACAATGGATCAAGCAACAGACTACAGTCTCCTGGGAGCGTCAGGAGGGGCATCGCCACCTGCACTGCCCATCAAACAGCGCAGGTATGCTAGTGTTATGACTTGACATGCTATTGTGATACAGGAAACACCATACCACAAAAGTTACTCGTTGCTCAGTATAATGAAATGCAAGTGAAGCAGGTCTAACCGAGTAATTTGTTCTATTGTTTCTTTATCTCTGAACTTGCATGTTTAGGAGCAAGTCATCTTCAAGCTCCATCCAGGATCTAGATCTGAAGGTGGGAGATCTACTCTTGTCTGGACCACAGACGCCTGTGTCTCCATTTGCTGAAGTATTCACTCCTACTTACTGTAACGCAGCCCACTGCCCAATACACCGTCGCTATGGTGAGTCTGGCAGAACCTGGTGTGTTTGTTTGAGTTTAATACAAAAAGGTTAGTTTTGCAGCAATGATAAGCATCTTAGTAAAATGAGAACTTGATTCTGTAACGGTTCACATGCAAAGCCTTCCTCAATTCTGGTTATGCTTTTTGTTGTTTTTACACTTTCTTTCTTTTACATAAGTACTTTGAGGGAAGTAACACCTGAAACCAATACAGTAAGCCACTAGACAAACAACTAAACCACGCAGAGTCTGTCTGTCACGGCACTGTGGGAACTGAAAGTTTCCACAAAATTTCATTTCATTGTTCCATGACACATGACATAGACCACGTCTGAGAAGGCATGTGTTTGCTCTACTGCTAGAAGTAATTTTGACCTTGTTGTGTTGCTCAGAAAATCACCAGGCAAGATTCTTTTCGGATCAAACTCCGCCTCCAGTACCCAAAAAGAGTCTGAAGAGAACCCTATCCCTCCCGGCGGAGGCTCTAGACCCATCTTCCCATGACCATACAGCAACCTACAACTATGAAAATCCATTATACATGATAGCACCATTCCATGGCACACTTACACTACAAGAGGAAGAGGTACAAGAGGAGCTACATCAAGGATCGACCTTGCACAGAGTGAACTTTGATACACCAGATGAGCAACTTCAAAGAGTCTTCAGAAGCTTCCAGAGCCATGAGCAAGTTTCCATGGGTATTCAAGAGCGTTATCTTCAGTTTCTCAGGAACTCATTCCAAAACATTGAATCGAGCATCTTCCTGAATGAACAGGAAATGGAGATGGCAAAGACTTCTCAGCCTAATGACTTCATATTGTGTGAGGAGCAGTGGACGGAGAGGGATGCTTTCTACTTGGTGCGTTGTTCGAAGATTCCTGGGAGACTGTTTTCAGCAAAGGTAAGGACATCAACCCTGGAATTACAAACGGTGACCAATCTACAGTAGATGTACAAGGAATCTAGTTAGGTACTCTAGCAATCCGCAATTGTGTATTTAGGGGTTTTAAATCCAAAGACCTAAGTAGGCCATTAACGATTCCCGGCCGAGCCCCTGAACCACAAGCAGAATGCGCACCCTTATAAGGCAACCCTAGCTTGCAGTACAAAACCCTCAAACCACACTTCCTTCATCATGCCAGGTGTTGAGAAACAGCACCAACAGTTTGACATGTGCTTTGTAGATTTAAGGGCAAGTATTTAGCCGCAATGCAACAGTTTTTGGGTAAAGGGGTAGACAATCCTACATGTTGCATGCTACTGAATAAAAGAAAATGAGTATTTTGAAAACAACTCCTATGTTTCGGCAGGTTCACAGAGAAGATTTGGTTTCAGATTGTGCTATATCCATGCCGCATCCTAACATTGAGCAAGGAGTGGTCCATTTCCGACAATGCACAGCTACGCCTACGGATAAAACTTCCACCTTGCAGCAAGCTGAGACAACTTCAGAGCCTTCACATGGGGACACCACCGAGGTGTGCCAACAGCAAACAGTAGCGGATCTTCTAGAGAAAGGTTTTAGTGTGACTGTGGTAAGAGACTTTCCATTGGGAACGTTGGAGGACTTTGTTGAGGAAGGACACTTTTTGCACTCCAGCCTTCCTGAGGTTTATGAGAGGAGGCTTTGCCTTCTTGCCCTCCAGTTGATTCTAGGACTACAGCAGCTGGGACATTTTAAAGTAATTAACAGGGAATTGAAACCACAGAGTGCGACTTTAGTGTGGCCTCATATCACGAGCAAGGGGGATGACCCTTTGGAATACACTAGTAAAAAGAAGAAGGCAATGGAGATGAATACAGACACTTCTAAAGGTACACCCGAGATCACGGTGACCGAAGAGCTAATACACAAAAGTGAGATTTGTCAAACCTTATGGGAGAAGTGGGGCACCCCTCGTTTGGTCCTGGAAAGCCATTTCGAGGACAAAGTTTTCCAAGAAGCAACATCCCAAGAGTTCCAGTTGGGGACTTTGCTGAGGTACGGCCTACATCTCACTGATGGTTGCTCATCCGTGTCGAAGGCGCCACAAGACACTCCATACACTCCAGGATTGCTGTGGCTGGTCACCCAGCTTACATCTGAGAAACCTGGGCTACTATTGACCGATGTGGTGGGTGTCCTCCAGGCCTTACTTTGGGGTCCACAACAGGCACTTTTTCAGCAGAATAAACTGGAGAGCTCTGTGTTCTCTAACTGGCTGCTACTTAAGCGGTCTCTTTTAGTCCTCAAGCTTGCTGAGAAGGGACTCTTTCAGGACCAATATGGCTTGGACTGGGAAGACTATCTCTGCCTGCAATATCTATCCCTTACTGACGCCAAGACTATGCATTGCATTACTGAACACATGGGCCTTCATGACTTTTTTAAACCTGCTTAACATTAAAATGCAAATGTTAATGACAACAATTGTCAGATAGTGAAACATAGATACAACTGTAGACTATTGTAGCTATACAACCTAAATTAAGTTAGAACAACTTGAGCATTTTTGTTATTCATGTACTTCCCATCATAAAACCTTGAAGAAAAAAAACCTAATATTTGTAAAGAGACCCGCACATGACAACAAATGCTTATTAATTCTGAGAAATCTATTTTTTTCCTGTATGTTTTAGTTAAATTGAAGCCATTTAATTCCCTGTTTTCATATTTACCCCTCCCATGTCATGTGCATGCACTTTGAACATTATATTACTATTTTTCTTTTTCATCTGTCTACAAAATTACCATGTGAAACACTTGTTACACATTAAACTGTTATATTTAAAGGGGGCAGATTATATCCAATGTACAGTAAAGGCCTCGCCAATACAAGCTTATTGTTGGTTGACCTTGTGGAGTTTACTTATTAACAATACCTGGAAAAATTAGCATTACAAAACTGGGGTTAGGACAAACTATTCTGAAAAACCCAGTGAGCCTTGGTCTACTAAGTTACATTTTGCATGTGGACATGAAAAGAGATTGCAAAACCAAGTCGGTGTTGTAGGGTGAGCATTTTTTATTCTGCACACTGTAGGAAACATGCAGACAAATCCTATTGAAGTCATAACTAACTCAAATCCATGCACACATTAAGCAAGCACTTAAAGCCACCAGTAAAGAAATCAATATCAGCAATATAAACCATGATTCTACATACATTGTTGCTTGAGATCTTAACCATAAATATGTTCTAAAAATTATCAGTGAGGGAATGGTGCAAGGAAATCAGCAAATAATCCAATTACATTGAAAGTTAAGCCCAGTAGTATGGCTTAAAAACTAATGGTCAATGCAGAAACGCGTTTACACTAGTGCAAATACGACTGAAAATACAGCACAAACCTTAGAATAACTACAATGTAGTGATTAACAGGAAAAGTCAATTTGACAGTCATACTGTTTCTTTTAATGGTGAGATACAGCATGTTGGGTGAGATACAGCATAGTTATTAGAAGCAAAATGTGATTGATAAGCTTTATTCGTCACTATCGGTGTCTCTTTCGATGCTGTAAGCCATGAAGAAAGCGTCGGGGCGGGTTGGGACGAGGGGATGACCCGGTCTCACAATCTCAAAGCCCATGAAACTGAATGTCCGCAGCAGCGATGCTGGAGATGGTAGAAGAAAGGGTTAAAATAGGCCCAATTAACTCAAGAGGCATGAAGGGAGATAAAAATCCATAATCCGTACCTCTGTCATCTCGGTTCTTATGGAAGCAGATGAAAACATGATCAACCTGTAACTTCTCCTCTGCAAACTCCAGCAAGAGTGAAAAACTGTTGCAAAATAACAGAACCAGTTTGAGCCCAAATTAACTTTCAGTAGGGAGAAAAGAAAAAGCCAATACACAGGATAACGTTAATTTGACTTGCCTATCTTTGCTCCCTTCCGGGAGGACACCAGTGGGGATTTCGATGTAAAGGTTCGCCCCTTTCAGTGCCCCCCTCCAAACTATGTGCTTGCTCACAGAGCAGCGGCGCTCAAAAAGCAAAAACCGTACACGGCTATTCAACGTGGGGGCTTCCTCAAGAACCAGTAACTGAGCATCCTACAAAGAGGACACAAATACAGTTATATGCAAGTACGCACTCATGGGCAATTACCACTGTACAGTCATATAAAAAAAATAAAAAAGTAAAGTAGCAATGGATGACATTTAAATCATTAACATGACAAGTCAGGTGAGGTGGAATGTCCAAGCTCATTTTTCATGAGTTATGAGATTAATATGTAGATAAGATATGACCCTTGCACACATTATAAAGACTCAAGGCCCATTCACACCAAGAACAATAACTATAAAGATAACTATTAGCATCCACACCAGCAGACGATATCTTTCGGTTTATTATAATCCACACCAGCTAGGACTGAGCCAGTAAACTTGACAACCGCTGCACCGGTGGCGATGGAGCACCAAAACACTTTTGGATGTGAACGCCGTTTAACAATGACACGAGAGAAGCACAAAGCTTTGTTTACATAAGAAATTTTATGTCGCAGCCATGGAAACATTTGGGTTCATGACGAACAAGTTGTGCGTGAGCCCATATAGATTTCAACTGTATTGTGGTTTGTGATCTGATCACCTGATTATCAGGGAATTTAACAATAGTCCATTAGTTATTCCACTGGACATGGAATCTCTCTCCAAATCTTCACTCGCGTCTCACCCATTTTTGAAGGGGATTACAAATGTTTCTTACTTGGTTAGATTTTAATTAGGTCCATTATATTCACATTCTTTACTGTGGTAAAGTAGAAACACTGTAGGACAGATACGCTATCGGTCCTACAGTGTTTCTACTTTACCACAGTAAAGAATGTGAATATAATGGACCTAATTAAAATCTAACCAAGTAAGAAACATTTGTAATCCCCTTCAAAAATGGGTGAGACGCGAGTGAAGATTTGGAGAGATTCCATGTCCGGACGCAGTTTTGTGTGGAAATAAAAAATTTTAAACATTTAACTATTATATTACTTAAGTTGCCATTATTACCTAATATTTATTTCCAATGCTTTACAAGTAATCGGTACTTTTCTTTCAAAGAATTGCTCACAAAATGGATGTTTGAACCTCTTTTTTTTTTTTTTTTTTTTTTAAAAACAATGTGATATGAAATGTGAACCCAAACCTCGGTACTCACAGAATAGAATAGCTTAGCTGAAAGACTGTGATCCCGCTGATCCTTCCCTCGCCCACCTGGGATCTTCAGGGGTGGGTGAGGGACATCAGGAACACCACAGAGGCCCCGGACACGGGTTACTGCAGCGATGGGAACTGTAACCAGGAAACACAACAACATACTTGTTAACAGAGAGCATGACATCAACATAGAATGGAAAAATAAAAATTAATTGACAGACTAGCAACTTCCAGTAGCTCAACTGATAGAGCATGACGGCAATCCCAAAGGTTCCACACCCTAGGTAGGTTACAACATCGGCTTGGCTTTTGGCTAGTAAGGGTTTTTTGCTTGTAAGTTTAGCATGCCTAATACCTTCAACAGCTAATCAAGGTCTTGATTAGATTTTTCAGGTGCATTTAATTGGGGTTGGAGCTAAACTCTGCAGGAGAGTGGCCCTCCAGGACAGAAATAAAACCTGGTTAACTTCCTCAAAAACCTCATTTCAATTCAGTACCACATGCTGGGGCAGTTTTGGTCATGCGTCCCATTGAAAACAGCCTAATAAACCCTGAAGCCAGATTAGCTTACTCTCCACTCACATGGGGCATATCGAGCCCGTTACAGATGCTAGGTTGTGTGGGAGGGGATGAGTGGTGGTTACACAACTTCCTGTAGCAGGTGAATAAACACCGACATTAAGACTAAGTCTTGGAATTACTTTAAGACCTGTGATTTGTGGCGTTGCTGCATTTAAGACATAGATAGGTCCAACCAAAAAGACACAAGAGGTAACTTAGTAACCGGTTACAAAACCCCTATATGCACCCATGCAAGTTAAGACATGCCTACATCTAAAAATCACTATGCAGAAAATATTTTTAGATGGACTAAAGCCACATTTTCCTTGAAACTTGCTCATTTTACACAAGTTTAGTATAATAAAAAGATGAGTTTCATATGAATCTTATTAATCAAGCGGTTTTAAATCAGGTTAACTTTTAATATTACACTAAAGGAAAAATTAAAACAATATTAAGTTTTCTGAATTGATCTTTTAAAAACAAGGTTCTCCATTCAGTTCAGAAACAACGCATGACAACATAATCAAGGGGAGATGGGCGAGGCGACGTTAAAAAGATAAGCACACTACAATCCGCTTCAAAACAGGTTAAACAGACATATTGTGGGAAGTATCTCTTAAAATTAGAAATAAAATTCTTACTCAATATATTACTCATTAAACATCCTCTTAGCAGTGACACAAAAGCAAGTCACCTGACTGTTTTCGCTTTGCCAGCTAACGTTAGCATTGCAACGTTAGCCACCTCGCGAACACCTAACCCGTCAATCACTTGTTGAGCTGTGCGACCTGAATAAATGCGATAAAATGGTGTCTATAAAATGAAGTCATAAATAAAATATTACGAGGTTAGATAACGAGGTTTAAAAGATACATATGATTGGTTCGAAAGCCAAACTGAGACAGCATCTCTAACGTTACAGCTAAGGGCATAAAAAGACGTTGGAAATAACGACAATTTGAAATGGTGATTTGGACGTTTCTCGAATGTTCTACGAACGCGAAAACCTGTTACCTGGCAACAGGCCCGTCAGTCAATCATTCTATCCAACGACTGACAAACACAATCCCACCTGAATTGCGAGGCACTCACGTGACAGAACAATAATTCTTTATTTTTAATTTACTGAAAACAGTTTAGACAGATGGATTGACTTTAGTCTCATTCTGCTACCAAAAAAAAATAAACCAAAACAATAAGGCGTACAAACATTAAATTATTTGTCGAAATACACTGTAAAGCTCGCTAGGCTGTAACGTTACTGCTAAAACAAGGCCTCAAACAAGCGAGCTACATTAAAGTCCCACATTACCTTTCATTCTCGGGTTTATTACGGGTCATTTCGATCAATGGCATCTTGGATATATTACTCTCTTTTTCTCTGACAAAACAGTGGCTATTCAGGATCGTCTGAAGGTTGGATTTAACCATCCGGCCAACGTCAAGGCCCGACTCTTCTCTGTCCGTTCTCCGACTGAATGTGTAATGGTCGTGTAGGCCCGCAGCATTTATACTCGGAACACGAATGGGCGTGGCTTACGCGTTACGTCATGCGTTCTAAAAAAACAAACAAGCCCCGACTGCAAATAAACAAAATAAAATAGAATGCAGTCAATTTCGAGATAATAATCTCTGAATTATGAACCCACATTTCTGCAGTATGTAAAACTAGAACAAGATATTTACAGGGTTTCTAACGGAGTTACATAATCTGTCAATAAGTAAGCACAATTCTCATTGCTACGAATTCAAGATTAGTACCAGTACAAGACGTACTATAACTATGAGTCATTATAATTAATATATAACTGAATGAATAATCATTTAAAAATAAGTATAATGTTTACGTAAAAAATCTCAACAAAATTGTTTCTTGAGGTCGTTTGTGTTGTAGGCTATGTATTAAATAATACAACATTCAATTCAAGATTGCAAAAAGGCCATGCAAAATCACCTGCTTGTATTTTATAGAGAAGTCTCAGCTGTGCCTGTCCATCAGGACTCGGAAGAACTTGAGACACCTCAGTTTGTTCATGCACTCATGCTTTGACTGGTAAGAACCACGCGTTAATACGAACTATCACTAATGCTGTTGTTTTGATTGTTTGACTTATTTGCACTCAGTCATAGTTTTGTAGGCCTATACTTTCTGCAGCTGCTACTGATCCTCCTGATGTTTTGCTAGATTTACTTGTGCCAATAACAGAAGTTTAAGATACAAAAACGCCATGGACGTTTAGTGACAAACTTTCTAATCTTCAAGTCCACAGAAACATCCAGAAAGGATCATCAGAGCAAGTATGTATCCCTAACCCGCAGTGGGGTGTTGGGACTTTTTAAAAATATATGCACGATTTGATTTTGAATGTCGATTCACTTTCATTTCTGAGTGACCCAATCCATTCGACAGTGAAATATCGGCGCATATTTCCAGTGGAATCCTTGAGTGAGGTGCAAAATCCATGGAAAGGCATCACTCTGAACCGCTGTATATTAGTGGCCATGGTCATCGTGGTGGTCAGCTCTACGGTTGATATAGTACAAGGTGAATTC